GATAGATAGATAGATAGATAGATAGATAGATAGATAGATAGATAGATAGATAGATAGATAGATAGATAGATAGATAGATAGATAGATAGATAGATAGCATTTACATAGCGCAAATCCCCGCTCAACAGCAAGCTCAATGCGCTTCACAATCTATACTATTACCCCAGCAGGCCAGAGAGCATTTTGAAACAACCCCAACTTCCCGGGAAGCATACAGCACAAGCAGCCAGGCGCTTAAACACGAACATACTGATATTATCTTTCGTTGTCTATGGCCGGGTACCTAGACGGTCATATAATCCTTATGATCGCCTAGCCGGGTACCCATTCCCACCTGGGTTGATGGGGTGAAAATTCATGTAAAGTGCCTTTCCCAAGGACACAACGTCGGGCCCGCGGCTCGAACCCCCGAAACCGCCACCTCACAATTACGAGGCTGGTAACCTAACCACTAGGCCACTTTTCTTTCCTTTTCTTTCTCCAGTTTGTAAGTCTTATTTCTCTCCAGAGCTATGAATAAATGACCATAATTGTGTTGATGAGCTCTACTTCGCTCAAAGAAACAAGATCGGCGGCTGTGGTGTAGTAATTAGGAGCTCGCTGTTGCCAGCAGAAGATCTGAGTTCGATTCCCGATTGGGGAGAAAATTGTTATCGAGTATTATGGTCTTTCTACTGGAATATAATTCTTGATCCCGCTTCCTTTGAAACGGCAATCAGGCCGTCCAAGTATTAGAATTCTCCACTTTTTCACGTTGGATTCCCAAATGGGGAAATGTTAATAATTCCCTCAAAGGGGCGTAAAACCTAACTTTACAACTGACATTCTTCCTCCCAGAATAAGGTCCTAAGTACTGTGGAAAGGGTGTGCAACTTCGTACCAGACCCACTGGGCACACAGTGCAGGAACTTCATTCACAGAAATGGAAGAATCTTCATGAAGATGATCACTCAGCTCGTCACTCCGAAACTGGTCTGTGAGGCCATAGGCTTGTGTGACATCTCCAAGCAAGCAGATGGTGAGTCGCTTTGTGAACTCTGTTTCTCTGTATGTCTCTCAATATTACATTATACTAGAGAGGGTTTACAGTAACATTGTATTGCTGTAAAACTCTCTGATTATACGTTCGTGTGTGTGTGTGTGTGTGTGTGTGTGTGTGTGTGTGTGTGTGTGTGTGTGTGTGCGTGCGTGTTTGTGTGTGTGTGTGCTGTGTGTGTGCGCTGTGTGTGTGCGTGTGTGCTGTGTGTGTGCGTGTGTGTGTTGATGGGTGTGGGTGTATGTGTGTTAATAATAATCATAGTAATGTTATTAATAATAATCTTACTGCCAATAGAGCTAAGGCCAAATTTTGCGAACAGTATATTCTCAGAAACTACCAAATGAAAAAATGTGAAACTTTGTCAGTACCTATAACTTGAAACGTAGTGTTGCACTATTGTATTTTCATGAAGATCAAAATGTGTAAGAAGAAAGCCCATTTTAAGTTAAATTCAGTCCTTTTGTAGCGATCGCCATCATTTGCTTCGAC